GGTCCCATTAATAACATATAGGCCTCCTCTCAACTCCCTTTCACTATTAGGAAACTGCATCCTAATAGAAACCCTATCTGCATTTAACTGAATAGGAATCATACCTTTTTCTGGGAGTAGGGGACTGCCTTACATATTAATATATACGGAGTATTATCATACGACTTCACCCTCTTCAAAGACATGCACAAAATAAGAAACAAATACATAAACTGCCTTCCTTGTTGGAATTGGAGGTGTCGTCACAATGCTAGATCAGTAGATCATGGCCGAGGCTTGGCAGCCCATTACAGCTGGTTCATATGTCTTTCTGTCCATCTCATGTACTATAATCCAGCCCAAAAGAATTATTACCCCTAACACTTATTAGATTGTGACCATTGCCTCACAGGCACTTCTTCTCAGTTCTCACTGTTTTTACATGCTTATGCAGAGAATAGAAAATATGGGAAGACTGAAAAGAGTACGGATCATATGTCGAATCCGGTGGATTCCAGTGGTTTGTTAGAGAAACAGGTATGCATTTTTCCCCTGGTTTCAGGAATTGAGTTTCCAATCCAGCTCTGGGTTGATTTAAATTACTAACTCGTGACTTCATCTTTTATGTGTGCCCTATGTCGTATAGTGTGTGATTAGATTTTGTGTAGACTAGAGAGAAATAATACGAATCACAAGTTCCTTGAGGAAATGTCAACACTTTTTTGGACAATTAAATGAAGAAATTTGACAAAATTCTTTGGGGCAGGGAGTCGAGAATAATGATGCATTGCAATCTAAAGACTTTCTGTAATTGCATAATCGTCTGGAAGCACGCGCGGAACAATAGTCTATCTATATGGTGCTCCAACTCAATCTTATAGTTATCGAGTGGTTATTTGTCAGGTTTCAATAATTTTTTAACTATTAAGGTCCTTTGGAACTCTGAGAATGCCATGGAAAGAAAATATGAAGGGAATTTTAGAGGGATTTTGGAAAATAAAATGAAGTGGAAAATAAAATATTGTTTGAACTCATGGAATATAAAGTTGTTTCTGAAACTTACTTCTATTACACAAATACTAAAAAATCTAAATATAAGTAAAAGATTTAGAAACATTCATTATATTCCACTTTCTGTTTCATTTCTACGAAACATAAGAAAGTGACATCCCATAAAATTTTCTTTCCTTTCCCTAGCATTTTACAGGATCCATACATAGCTACAGTACTTGAGAATTTCAGCTTAAGTAAGATTTGGAAAGGTGGCACCTTTTCCTTTCTGATGTAATGCCTTTTTTATTGAGAGTCCATTAACCCTTTATATTTCTTTATTATTACATTTCATCTTATTTTTAATGTGTTGGATTCTCCCCAGCATAACCTCTGATCTTTTAATAGATGGCAGTTTATGGATTTCACTGCTTTGCACCTGACTAGATTGGTTTTAGGTTTAGTGACAAGCCACAGTGAGGATATGATTTTGACTACACTGGTTAGTTAAATTGCATTTTATGTCATATCCTAAATCTAATGATGTACATTGTACAATGTTTCACTATATGGCTTTACCAAGCAGATATATTGACTTATTTATGAAATAATTTATGACAAAGTATATTTTTAGGCAACGAAAGTCAATGATGCACAAGTATTATTATGGGCAACAAATATTTGGATCGTCACATAAAGTACAATGGGCCACGATGCTTAGGCAACGATCTCGTGACAAATTTGATTTCGTTGCACAATGAAATGGGCAAGGAACTAGCAACCTTTGGCAATGAATTTTTTCGTTGCACAAAACAGTTTTTCTTGTAGTGGTTGTATAATTCAATATCATTGAACCAATATATATGTATATGTATATGTATCTTTTCATATTTTTCTAATATTTTTTTAATATTTAATGTTTTTATGCTCAATATATTTTCTATAGTTTTATTTATAACTTACAACAATTAATTAGGTTGGCATTTAATATGACTTCATTAAGTAATGCTTCATTAATAGTGACAACAATTTTTCACTTCTTTTGGCTCCAAATAGATTTCTATTTGGATCTCCACCATGTTCTCTTTATATATATAAAGATTCCCTAAGTTACATTAGACCATTAGTCTTCTATCCGGAATCGGCTTATTTCTCTAGAAAAATCCTTTTCACATTCTTATTTTGCCCTGGACCCAAGCAATTAGTCTAAAAATGCAAAATTTTAAAGAAATTGTACACACGGACAAAATAGAAGCCTGTACAAAAACTTGTACACCAACTCACCAAGAATTGTCCCATTTCTTTGGTGTTTCTTGTCCTATTTCTTCAGTGTACGGATTGTAGAATAGTGCACATGGTTTGGGAGTTTGGGCCAAGGAACTACCTTCAGTGTGCCAATGAATTTATTTCACCATATTTAATCAATAGAGGACTTTTCATGTCCAGCCGGCCTGACGGGAACCGCCGTCCGGCCGAGGGCATTTCGGGCACTTCCCGGTGGAATTTTTTGATGAATTTTTTTGAGCATGTTTTTCATGAAGTCTAGTTTATCCATACCAAATTTCAGCTAAAAATTCGATCGGGAAGGCATTCAAATAATTTCTTGAAGTTAACTGGGCAGTTCATACATATAAACTGCCCAGTTAACTTCACAAAATTATTTGAATGCCTTCCCGATCGAATTTTGAGCTAAAATTTGGTATGGATAAACTAGACTTCATGAAGAACATGCTCAAAAAAATTCATCAAAAAATTCCACCGGGAAGTGCCCGAAATGCCCTCGGCCGGACGGCGGTTCCCGTCAGGCCGGCTGGACAGGAAGACTACTCTTAATCAATATATATAAGAGGAACTTTTTAAGAACATACAAAGCGCCACATAATCCTGCCATGTCATTATATATATTAATTATTTAGTTATTTTTATACTTTCTATTTTTATTAGCCAGATTCTATTTTTGATTGCATATTGATATAGAAACAAAAATCCGTAAAAATCCACATAATTAAGGCATTTTTTGCTCACGTGCATATTACCCAAAGAAATCACATTATTATCAAACTAAGTTTACTTCGATTTAATCATAAAACTGAAATTTACTTCCACATAATGTGATTAAAGTGAAATTGACTTACACATAATGTGATTAAACTGAAATTGATTAATCCGTAGATTAAATTAAATCTATATATTAGACTAAATTTTCTTTTCTTTTAAATCACATTACATATTATCCGAAAGAAATCAAATTTCAAATTAACTAAATTACTTACTGCCCGTGCATCGCACGGGCTTGAAAGCTAGTTAATAATAAAATCGAATTATTTTTTAATCTAATTGCACATTTACTGTAGCTGGCCAACAAAGTTTAAAAAGGGTATTCGCATTCACCAAGAGTATGTATTTCTTTAAAGCGCGCGATTGAGATTTTTTTTAACGTATTTAGGCAAATTAGGGGTGGACTGGGTCGGTCGGCCCGACCCGGGAACCAGCCCGGCCCGGGCCGGCACTATTTGGACCCGACCCAACAGTGCCAACCGGGACAGGTCAGAGGCCCGAACCAGAGGTTTTTTAGGCGGGCTACGGGCTTAGGTTTTGGTGGACCGGGCCGGGCCCAAATAATTTTTTTCCCCGGTTGAGCTTGTTTTTGGTGGATGGGGCTGGGCGGTTTGGGAGGTTTTGGGGTGGAGGGGTTCGAATTAATTCTAAAAGACAAAAAACAAAATTAAATTGGGCCCGACCCGGACCGGACCCGGTATATAACCGGGCCGGTAATATGACTCAATTACCCAGTCCACCCTAGGCACGGACCAGTTCTAGGCCAGTCCAAACTAGGGGTGGACTCGGGCCGGGCCAACCGGCCCGGAACCGGACCGGCCCGCTACTGTGCGGGCCCGGACCGGCCTGGTGAACCGGTTCGTGCCCAGTTCGGGTCTCTCGGCCCGGTGGTATAGCGATCCGGGCCCGGGCCTCCAGTTTAGTGAACCGCCCACCACCGGTTCGGGCTCGGGCCTCATTTTTCTGAACCGAGGCCCGACCGGGCCCAGGCCCGAACCGGTCCACCCCTAGTCCAAACCGGGCTTTTGTGTGTGGGTACAGGCCCGGAACCAGCCAGGGATTCCACTAGGACCAAGCCAGGCCAAGCTCGGGCCGGTTTATATTTTTTTTTTAGCTTTTCTAATCAACCCCACCCCCACCCCCCCACCCCCAAAACACCCAGCTCAACCCGCCTACCTCCAAAAAAAATTGAAAAAATGAAGAAAAAAAATTATGGGCCCAGACCAAGCTCGGTCCGGCCGGGCCGGTTCCAAAGGATGTGCAGCCCGGAACTGCCCCCCACAAACACCCCGGGCCGGTTCCACACAGTGGCAGTCCGGGCTGGTCAGACCGGAACCGGGCCACCCCTAGTCCACCCCTGAGGCAGATCAGTGGGCACAGAACAAAAAATGACGGACAATCAACCGTGTTTAGCAAGATTAGAAGGGACCAATGTTCTAAAAGGCACTAGCCCAGTGCCTAGGCGGCTAGGCAGGCACCTAGTCGGAGACAAAGAAATTGCATTTTTATCTATATTTTTGCATAAATATGATAAGTAATATTGTATTTTTGTGTATATAAATTACATATATACATATACATTAACAAACATGAATGTAGAATTATCACATTTAATCATATGTAGTATATGATAACTAATCACTTAACTTCATTATGTTATAAATATAAATAATGATGAATTTTAGGTAAATATAGAAGCTTATATAGTTTTATCTTAATTTACAACTTCATTTCTTTATATCCATGGCTAAAGCTAAAGTACGTATATCGCTTTGAAAATTAAAATTAAAAAGTAAAGTAATGTTTGGCAAATCTAGACGGTCTAGGCGGCCGATTAGGCGCTCTAGGCAGGCAACTAGGCGTCATAGGCGGCCGACTAATTCACCAAGACGGTAAACCAATTAGTCGGGGACTAGTCGGACGCCTAGAACGATTTTTAGAACAAAGGCGGGACTTTTGCACTAATGAACAAACTTTAACATAGTTCCTTAAACCATCTTTAACAAAACTTCTTATATGACTTCGTTATGTACTCCTGCATAAATGCATTAACACTTTGGATGAACACGGATCAATACCCAGTCCGGTTTTTTATTCCAGCACATGCTCTAAGAATCCCACCCCCCACAATCCACCGACATGGCCACATGCCCAGTGACTATTTAGAGGTACCTAACAGATATCAATCTAAATTTGTGTTGCAACACATGTACAAGAGCTAATCATGACCGTCCATGGTCAAAGGACTAGCTTACATATGACTGGTCATCATTTCCCTTCCTTCAAAATGGCTGATCGAATTGATATATTGTGGTACACACACTATGCAAACGGAACGGAAATCAGGAACATGGCTTAAAATAGGCCAAAGATTTATTTAATTGTTATAATAGCAATAATATTCATCCAGCTTCTCAGTCATTGGTATTATCAAGACGTAATAATATTCATCAACTGCAACAAATAGCAATAGAGGTGATCATATAGGTGCGTAGTCTACTGTAGGATCTATATATAACTCAACTAAAAATGATGGCAACCCCCCCCTCAGCCCCTCGTGTCATCTCAATCTTCACGGGTATATACAGGTGTATATTTAAGAAACTGAACCACAACAACGTAGGCAAAACAAGAGACACTTACTGAAAATCCTCCCCCTTGGGAACATTGGTCACTCGAAGGACAGCTTGGGCACTTAACGGTGAGAGCTTTGATTGGCAGAAATGCTCCCAAGAGGAGGTGGTAGTTTCTTCTGGTTCCTTCACAATCCCCTCCACTGTTGTAATCTTCTCATACACAGTCTGCAATTCCAATATAAGAGCACGAGCTGCTTCCCTGGACTCTGGAAGCTGGTCACTGAGCTGAGATGCAGCGACTTGGATCAAGTTCTCGAGACCATATGCTTTTATTCCATCAGGCCCCTACATCAGATAAAATATTTAGGGAACATTCAGAATGAGGTAAAGAGAGGAAATGCTAAGGGTGTTTTTTTGTCTACTCAGAACTCACAAAATACAGAGAAAATTTTCTATTAGATATTTGTTCGAGCTCATTTTATTTATTTATTTATTTGTCATCATCATAAATAAATAAAATGAGCTTGAACAAATGTCATTTTTCAAAGCCAAACATAAGAAATTTATTAAGAAAAAACTCCTTACGATTGAGCATTCTGGGATTCAAACATGCATTTACATGCACCTAATGTTCAGTTTTAAATTCCAAAATATGAAAGGACATTTTAGATTCCTTAATTACTTAGATATCTAAGGGGCTGTTTACTTGCAAGTTGCAACTTAATACAATTAATGAGAATAGTGACTTAACTGTTCAGCTATTAAGTCATGTTTCAAATATTTTAAAGTAACCATTTTTTGTCATTAGCTTTTCTTTTAGTAATATTCAAGTACAAAAACCTATAATTATCACATCTATTTTCTTTCCGTTGCACTTTGCAGGTTCCAAACATACCCAAAGGCTGTGTCCAAAACACAGAAAATGTTGAGGAAAGGGGGAAAAGGAAATTATTGTGTTTGCTTTTAGAAAGTAAAGGAAAATCTGACTTGCTGAGAACTTTTTACATTCATTTACATATATTTAGATTTTAAAATCTAATATACAACTGATGAGTTTTGACACATTTCTAAATTCATTATTGAGCTCAAACCAACTTGTTAAATTGCTCACATATTTTATTTTCCTGGCATTTTTCTGGTTCCGAAGGATTGATATGGGTTTGAACAAATGTCTAAACTCATTATTGAGCCCAAACCAACTTTTAGAATTTTCTCAAATTTTTATTTCCTGGCACTTTTCTGGCTCAGATCATTTTACAGCCCAAACCAAATTTTAAAGACCCTTACTACTGCTAATCATTTCCATTCATCCTCCTTTGAATTGCTTAAATCTCAAAATACACTTATTTCTTGGGTCATGATCAAGGTCATTTTCACTTCATAAACAGGGGCCAGGAGCAATACTGAACCAAGTAAATTAAGTGTGCAGTGAAAGAGGGAGTACAACACTGACCAGATTTGGTACACTTTTAGAAAAACACGTTGATGCCTTTGCTCGAATTCTAGGGTTTCTGTTTTTAAGATAAGGTTGCAGTTTGGGTAACAATAGAGCTGGCGAAACCCAAGTAGTCATTATGGTTAAGGATCTCTCAGCTGCCTCACAAACAAATCGCTTGTCTTGAGAAGATTTCAGAAGAAGTTGAAGAAGCTGGTAAATTGCAATTATGAAGCAAAAATTACTCAAAGTGGCATAAGTACTCATAAATAGTATGTAAAACACAAGCAAGAATGGCATTAGACGGGGCTGTATTACCAGTGGATCCATTGTATCAACTACGCTTTCACCATATGCTTTAAAAATGTCAGCAGATGTCATGATTGCAGTTTTGCAAACAGCACTTCTTGGGTTTTTCAGTGATTTTACAACTAGGGAGATTACCTTTTCCCTGTGTCATTTAAGAATTGTTACAATTAGATAAACTTATCATACGAGATTGTGTGCATAACTGCATACAACATTCCATCATGCACATTGAATGATAAAAGTGTTATTGAAGTTTTCTGTATATTCTTCTTCTTCAATGAATCATTTACAAGAAGTACATAAGCTATTTATACAGATAGGAGCCTGAGAGAGTCTATTCAGTACCTTAGGTGACTGTCTGAATACTAAACATAAATGATTATGAACTGAAAAGACAACAACTATTAATTACAACCTGAAACTCTAAAGACTCATAATTACAGTAATAAAAATCTTAAATTAAAGATGTCTCTTCGTTTTATCAACACTCCCGCTCAAGCTAGGTTTGTAGATATCCATCATGCCTAGCTTGACAATAAGACTCTGAAACCTGGGACTGTGCAAAGGTTTGGTAAACACATCTGCAACTTGATCCTCTGAGGGAGTATAGCTTAGTTCAATCAGACCTCCTTCAACCTTTTCTTTGATGAAGTGCCGATCAATCTCAATATGCTTGGTCCGATCATGTTGGACTGGATTATGAGCTATGCTGATTGCTGATTTATTATCACACCTCAATTCCATTGGTCCCTTCCACCTGATTCGTAAATCTGAGAGAATAATTCTGATCCATAGAAGTTCACACAAGCCATGGGCAAGGGCTCTTAGCTCAGATTCAGCAGATGATCGTGCCACAACATTCTGTTTTTTGCTTCTCCATGTCACAAGATTTCCTGCCAGGAAAACACAGAAACCAGTAGTTGACCGGCGGTCAACGAGAGAGCCACCATAATCTGCATCAGTGAAGGCTTGGACTGATAATTGCCCACCCTTCCTGAATACTATTCCTTGTCCAGGACTTCCTTTTAAGTAGTGTAGAACCCTATAGGCTGCTTCGAGATGCGGTTTCCTTGGATCATGCATGAACTGACTGAGGACACTAACCGCATAGGCAATGTCAGGTCTGGTATGAGAGAGATAGATAAGTTTGCCACACAAACGCTGATACATTGATGAATCAACCTTGGGTTCATCAGTAGCAAGTCCAAGCTTATGATTAGGATCCATAGGTGCAGTAACGGGTCGACAAGCACTCTTACCAGTCTCATTTAGCAAATCTGTAATGTACTTTTGTTGGCTGATAAAGATGCCTTCAGATGAGCGAGCAACTTCAATTCCAAGAAAGTATTTTAGAGGGCCAAGAGACTTCATCTCGAATTGGGATTTCAGCTGCCCCTCAAGACGTTGTTTCTCAACTGGATCACTACCGGTCACAATGATGTCATCCACATATACTAAAAGAATAGTGATTCCATTTGGTTGAGAGTGTTTGTAAAAAAGAGTATGATCCCCTTGGCTTTGACTATACCCGGCAGCAAGAACAACCTGTGTGAATCGGTCAAACCAAGCACGGGGGGATTGCTTGAGACCATAAAGGGCTTTTTTAAGTCGGCATACATGTGTAGAGGCACTTATTGATGTTTTATTGAAGCCTGGGGGAATGTGCATGTAGATCTCGTCATGCAAGTCACCGTGGAGAAAAGCATTCTTGACATCAAATTGCAGTAAAGGCCAATCAAAGTGAGATGCTAATGACAGTAGGATACGAACAGTATTGAGCTTAGCTACAGGAGCAAAGGTCTCTTGATAGTCAATCCCATACGTCTGAGTGTATCCTTTAGCCACAAGACGAGCTTTGTACCGCTCAAGAGATCCATCAGCATTGTATTTGACAGTAAAGATCCACCTGCAACCAACAACATGCCTCCCAGGAGGTTTAGTCACAATATCCCAAGTATGGTTCTTTTCAAGAGCTCTAATTTCCTCTTGCATAGCATCCCTCCATTCTTTCTTTCCTAATGCCTCAGAAACAGAGTTGGGTATGGGAAATTCATTAAGTCTCTGAACAAACAAGGCATGTGAAGGAGAGAAATTATCAATGGTAACAAAATTAGCAAGAGGGTATAGAGGTGTTTTGGTACATTGACGTACACCCTTGCGTAAAGCAATTGGCGGAGATGGTGGAGGAGAAGAAGAGACATTACCTGGGTCAGCCGATTGGTCATGCGTCAACAACGGAGTGAACCTATTTTTTCTTGAGTACACTTTTGTCACTGGTAGAGGAGAAGGTGGGTCATGAGTGGTGGATTTAGTAGGTGTAGGAATGAGATATTCTGGTGATGGATTTGATTGAGGTTCAGGTAATGTTGAAGACTGTTGGGAAGTAGGTGAGGTTGCTGACTCATCTATAGAAGGTGATGGATGATCATGTGGCAGTGGTAATAATGGGATGTCTGGTGATAAAGGCTTAGGAGAGTAGGAGATTGTATGTGCTGGAGGAGATGTGGGAAGAGGTGAAGGATGTGGAGTATCTTGGGAAACAGAGAGAGAAGTAGGAGTGTGAAAAGGTGTGTCTTCGTGAAAGGTCACATCTGCACTGGTGTATGTCTTTCTGGTTGTAGGATTATAGCACTTATATCCTTTCTGAGTTGGAGAATAACCTAGAAAGATACACTTAATAGATCGTGGGTCCAATTTTCCCCTATGAGGTGGAGGAATATGAACAAATGCAGTACACCCAAACACCCTTAGATCAAGATCAGAAGAAATTCTGGTTTGAGGAAAGAAGCAACAGAGAGATTCAAGGGGTGACTTATTTTGGAGTACACGACTGGGAATTTTATTGATGAGATGACATGCTGTGAGTGTGGCTTCCCCCCAGTAGTGTTTAGGCATATTTGATTGAAACAATAAAGCCCGACTGACTTCAAGGAGATGGCGATTTTTTCTTTCTGCTATGCCATTCTGTTGTGGTGTGTATGGACAAGAGGACTCATGAACGATGCCTTTTGAGAGAAAATAAGAGGAAACAGTTTGATTGAAGTATTCAAGAGCATTATCAGTGCGGAAACGTTTTATAGTGGTGGAGAACTGATTATGAATCATATTGCAAAAGATGGGAATGATGGAACTCACCTCACTCTTGTTTTTTAGCAGAAAAACCCACATAAAACGTGTACAATCATCAATAAATGTAACATACCACCGGGCACCAGATATATTAGCAATTGGAGCAGGGCCCCAGACATCACTGTGTATAATATCAAAAGGAGAACAACTGATTGTATTACTTCTAGAAAAAGATACACGAGACTGTTTAGCAAGTTCACAGACATCACATTGAAATGTAGAAACATCAACACTACCAAAAAGACTAGGAAATATGGTTTTTAGGACATGAAAAGAGGGATGACCAAGCCGCTTGTGGTGAAGCCAAATAGTGTTGGTATTGGCTGTGATTGAGGTAAGAGCTTTTTGTGGAGGTTTGGAGACAAACAGTGCATCAAGGTAGTACAGGCCATCTCTTTGTTTAGCAATTCCAATCGTCCTCCCCGTGCGTAGATCCTGTAATAAACAGTGGGAAGGGAAAAAAATGGCAGCACAGTTAAGATCAACAGTGAGTTTGTAAATAGAAGCTAGGTTCATAGCCAGGTTTGGGACATGTAGGGTGTTTTTCAGATTTAATTTTTCAGAAAAAACAACCGTACCAAGTCCTGCAACCTCTGTAGGTGTCCCATCAGCAGTAGTAATGTGTGTGGATGTAAAACATGGACGATAGTTAGAGAGTAAAGAGGGTATGGCAGTCATATGAGATGTGGCACCTGAGTCTAAGATCCATTGGGATTGTGGACTCTGTTCCGAAGCATTAAGACAAAAAATAGTAGAGGTTTTACCTTGCAGGGCCAAAGAGCTATGACCAGAACCATTTGAGTTATTAAGAGACTGTAGCATCATACGAAGTTGTTGTAATTCCTCCTGGGAAATGGGCAAAAGATTAGTAGAGCTCTCAACAATCGTGGGAGTGACCGAGTTGGCACGTCCAGCACTAGTTCCACGCCTGTCCTGGCCTTTTCTTTCTTTCTGTAGATGAGGATATAGTTTCCAACATGTATCCATATTATGGTTGGACCGCTTGCAATGATCACACCATCTTCCTCCCTTACTACCCTTAGTTTCCTTGACATCTGAAGGAGTAGATTTGGCAGCAAGAGCTGTACTGTCAATCAGCTTTGTATTCATCATTATATTGCGTCTACTCTCTTCATGTTTGATAGTGGCAATGGCAGAAGATAGGGAAGGCAGAGGAGTAATGCCAAGAATTTGACCCCGAGTCTGATCATATTCGGGATTTAAACCAGACAAGAAGCAATATAGACGTTGCTGATTTATATAGCTCTGGTGAAGAGCTGCATCTGCAGCATTCGACCACTTCATTGTTTGATACTGGTCAAGTTCAGACCATCGTCGTTGGAGGTCAGTTGCATAATCTGTGACAGATTGTGAATCTTGCTTAAGGTTCGTTGTTTGGAGCCATAAGTCATAGACAAAAGCGCCATCTTTAGCAACGGAGTAGGACTGCTGTATGAAATCCCAGATTTCTTTAGCCGAGTCCATGTATAAACATGTACTGCTAATGTTGGGATCCATAGAGTCCCATAACCAGACCCGTATGTTGGCATTAGTTTTCTCCCAAATAGCAGCATCAATATCTCCTTCTTCTGGGGTAGAGACAGTGAGACAGTCTTCAAGATCTTTGCCACGCAAGAGAGTATAAACCAGCTTTGACCATCCAAGATAGTTCCTGCCATTGAGACGGTAAGATGGCGGGATAGAAGGGAGATCAAATTTCTGGTTTCGAAGAGCAAACGCGGCTGCAGTAGCAGCTGAAACGATGGTTGTGTGGTCGAGGTTACTTGAGGTTGATTCAGTTTCCTTAGACATGATAGAACCGTTGGTGAAGAGATTCGCACCCGAGGATAAACAGATAGGCGGGTAGAGACACCCTAGTAGACTGTTGGAAAGATGATTAAGAGTAAAGAGGCTGGTACGAGATCGTGCTCTGATACCATGAAGTTTTCTGTATATTCTTCTTCTTCAATGAATCATTTACAAGAAGTACATAAGCTATTTATACAGATAGGAGCCTGAGAGAGTCTATTCAGTACCTTAGGTGACTGTCTGAATACTAAACATAAATGATTATGAACTGAAAAGACAACAACTATTAATTACAACCTGAAACTCTAAAGACTCATAATTACAGTAATAAAAATCTTAAATTAAAGATGTCTCTTCGTTTTATCAACAGTTATACTAGTACATTGCATACTCTATTTGAAATTTTATACCATCATCAGTATATGGAGACTTACAGCATCTCAAGCATAGCTTCTTTGTGAAATATACATATACGGCGTACATCATTGAGTGTCTCACAAACTAAAACCCAGTCCTTGGATTCCAGACCTGCTGAGAGTGTCTAGAAAACCAATATAGAAAAAGCATATTAAATAAAATAATGTATTGGCTCCAGAATATAAACAAGCATCACTTGATGCAGAATTGAACAGTCTATTACGACACCTTCAGGCTAGTATCTACATCTTCTACATCTTTCAGATTCTCTGACTCAATGTATTCAACTTCTGAACTTCCTCCCTCTACTCCAGAGTTAAGCTTCACTTCTTCATTAATATCAGCTTCAACTATGGTTACAGTTTTCTCAGCAGCAGGGAGGGTCTGAAGACTTCCAATAGCCTTCTCGGTCATCATTGTAATTTGAAGTACCTGAATGTTAAAGAGTAATCAGGGAAGCTTATTGATATCTGTGCAGATGTTCATCTACATTTTAGCCAAAACAAAACTATCCAGACCACCAAACATCACAAATTCAACAAGGTCTGAAATCGTGAATCTGAATTGCTGATTTGAAGCGAGCCAGATATAGACATCATTCGTGCTTCTAATCTCTTTCTTAAGGCTGCCTGCAAACCCCTTTCACTTGGAACCGGATACATGCTTAGCAACTTTGAGCCTTCGAGTCAAACTTGAGTTGACCTCAGAGGCCAGAGCCTAAGTAAAAGTTCTTGAGAAGAACTCGAGTTTTGATATTTGAGATTGTTCGAGCTAGAGTGAAACTCGAGCATGTGAAAAAAATTCAAGCTCAAGCTCAAGCCTACGTAAGTTCGGGCTCTGATCGGCTCATATACACCCCTATTTAGGATATATTGTATATTGATATATTTCCATTTATATTTTTATATTGAAATATGAATACACATACAAAAATACGTAGTAGTTAAGCTCAGAGTATCTGTGATACAAAAGCATGACTCTTCCAAATGAACCCCAACAAATACTCCTTTCTTCTAGCTCTGCTTTACTCCTACAGCTTCTATGTACGTAAAAACCAGTATATCCGTGCAATATATTTTATGTAAATACATTCTCATATCTATTCAAATATGCATAAACACACATATGAATTATATAAATGTATAAGTGTGTGTATAGCTAAGTGTACGGTTACCAGTAAAACGAACAAACAAGATAAGTAGTTAAATAGCTGCTCGGTGACAACTCGATCAATGGCCGAGTAGCATTGTTTGTAATATGGAGAATCATTTAGAAAATAATCATATTTAGGGGGTGTTTGGAACTGATTCTGATTCTGCTTCTTTTTTAAAAGCAGAAGCAGAATCAGTTTTCAGAAGCTGGTACCCCCCAGCTTCTAAAAAAACTGATTCTGAGAGTAAATTAGAGCTCCAGAAGTGCTTCTGGAATTTCACCCAAACACTCCAGCTTCTGCTTCTGCTCCCTGAAGGAGCAGAATCAGTTCTGAGAATCAGATCCAAACACCCCCTTACTCAATATAATAATTTATTTTTAGCATTGGTGTGTTAGTGTGTAGAATAAAAACATTTCCGTCCATATTTGGTTTAAAGTCTGACCTGATACTGAAATTAATGTTACTTTCAATACCTTTCTATCATACAACAATAATATGCTTCGTATATACTTTCATTATACTTTGATTCCTTAATTTGGTTCTTCAGCAAATGTTCATATATGATGACATTTAAAGTTTTTGGAAATAAATGACAAAAATAAATATTAAAAATGTTATATTTCATCAGAAAATACGAGTTAAATACTTAAATCCTTCAATAAGTGAAAAAACTGCTTCGATTTTCTTCCAAACCGCTGCTTTGTGTTCAGTGAACTGTTAAAATCATAATAAGCGAGCACGTAAAACCAAATTACCAATTCGAATCTGCTTAGGAATCACGTCTACACAGAAGATCCTGCAGATTTCACAATGAGAACTAGGATTGACCTCTCAAGTTGCATAGGATGAGATAAAATCAGAAATCTCACATATTTTTTACTTTTAAATTACAAACACGACAAAAGCAAAGAAAAATGTGCTTCAATTACGTAATCCTTTCAGGCAGCAAAAAATGTAAAACGTCAGTTAGAGAGTAGATCAGTAGTTATAAATGCGTAAAATAGTGTAGAAGAGGTATTTGATTATGAAACGTAAGTAAAGAGCATTACTGTTACCTTCTGTGAGTTAGATCTGTACAAAACATAATCAAGGTGTCGGTGGTTATCCGGACGAATCTGACATCGAACGGCGGTGGGGGTAGAGAATGCAGATTGAAGCCGAGCAGGTGCTTGTGAACTATTCCGCTGGCCTCCTGAACTTAGAAGAAAGGGGTGCGAGGGTTACAGTGGACTAGTGCAGCCGTGGGTTTTTATCCGAGAGGGATAGGGTCGTTTTTTAATTCAGAAAATGAGAGGGTAATAGACCGATCTCCGATTTTCACTTTTCAGTTGAACCAGAATTAAAGATGGAACCGTGGTTTTTTTCATGCTCCGTACCTCTGGTTTTTTTCATACCTAGTGTTACTTCCATTCTTAAATACTACTCCGTGTCTAATTTGTAACCATGGACTTTTTTAGATTCGGAAATGCACAAATTTGATCAGTACTATATTAATTTTTTTATATAAAAATTTAAGGATTCGGATTTTATAAAAAATAAAAAATATTTTATAAAAAATAATTTATAAATAGATTAATAAATAAAACATAAACAAAGTAGAACCCTAGCATGTGGTGAAATTTAACGTATTTCACTTATTTAAGAATGGAAGTAGTAAATTCGAAGTAAAAAAAAAACACAAAATTAAAATAAAATGCATTCTAGACCATTTGCATCTCCCCACATAATTTATGAATGTGGAGCACGGTAAAGAATTGTAAACCTCTTTCAACATGAAGAGACGCATTCCCCAAACTATTGGCACACATATTTCTCTCCCTAAGTGTGTGTGAATTCTAGGAACCGCTCATCTTAGAGCAATTTAGGACATTTTTTACTTAGCACCTCTTTGAAGATCCCCTACCTATCGTTGTCTTAACCATTAGAATTATGTTTTATAGATTCACCTCCACTATTACATAAAAGGGATGTAATTCTCGCGTCAATAATAACTCTCACGAAACCCATAATTCTACATTGAGACTAATACTTTTTCCAATGTTTAACATACAACCAATAATCCATATTACTTAATTTTTATAAATTTTTTGACATAGTGAACAAGTTACATGTCACAAAGTCATGCCAACAAACCCTTATAAGCGGACAAAAGCTTTCACATTGTTGCTATACAGTCTACGAAACCACGATGTGTTCCTCCAAATAAACCCCTTAATTTTACGGACAAAAGGTGAGGGAAAATTGAAGTTAGGTTACTCATAGTTTCTCGTAAACCGCTACTTTCTCGTAAACCGCTACTGGTATAGCTTAGAGAGAATGGAGAGCTAAAGTATAGAGAGATAAAGTGATTGCAATAAATGATCTATGAACCCCCTACAACTACCTCCAAGGGAGGTGTATTCATAGAGGAAACATGGGTTGGGCTTCCAGCTCTTGGGTCCGGGAGGCTCAGTTACAGCAGTGGGCCGCTAATGGACTATTTACATGCGCTTTACTCCACTAACGACATAATGAAGATATTCGTTGAAGGTTCTGGTCGAGGTGCAATGATTGTAGTTCCTGCATTGGTTCATGGCCGCCCGTGGTCGAGGTGCAGTCCTCCGAAATGTGGATGCCTAGGTGACGGCAGAGACAAATTTAAGGGGGGCGGGGGGCAACTGCCCCCCTTGAACTTTCATACTTTAATTACATTTGCCCCCTTAACTTTTAGTTTTTGAAATTAATATAGTTTTACATAACATTTATAATAATTCATATAACTTAAATAAATAAGGAATAGAATAACTCATTGTTTAAGATTTAGGATACTTATTACATAAAAATTCTTATTTTTGTAATGTTTAATTATCTTTATTAGATAACTAGTACTCGATTTTGTAAAATGTATATCTAGAGATATTAAATACCAAAAACACTAGTTATACAATGTTAGATCATGTGAAGTGAATCCAAAATACTAATGTTTATTGACATTAAATTACTCAATTCATTTACCTCTTATGTTCTAAAAAGACTGTATTGAATAGATAATAAACTTTAACTTATTTTAGCATTAATAAAGATATAATATGCACTATATATTTGAACTAGCAATATATTGTTATTCTAAAAATAATAGTCTCATGAATACTATTGTAATATTAAGAAAACTCCTTGTAACTCAAGAACACCCTCCTTCGTAGACAAAATTTGTAATTCGATCAAAAACCAATGGGAAAACTGTCAAATAGTTCCTCGAACTTTCATAAAAAGGTCAAATAAGTCCTTATATAGGAGGCTCTGTCCGGCCGTCGCAATTTGGGATAGTTCCCGGTGGACTTTTTTTATGAACTTTTTTTAGCATCTTATTCATCAAGTCTAGTTTACTCATACCAAATTTCAGCTAAAACTTCAATCGGGAACGCATTCAATTTAATTATTGAAGATAACTGTGCAGTTAAATGAGCAGTTATCTTCAAGAATTAATTTGAATGCGTTCCCGATTGAATTTTTAGTTGAAATTTGGTATGAGTAAACTAGACTTGATGAATAAGATGCTAAAAAAAATTCACCAAAAAATTCTACCGGGAACCACCCTAAATCGCGATGGCCAGACAGAGCCTCCTATATAAGGACTTATTTGACCTTTTTATGAAAGTTCGAGGACCTATTTGACAGTTTTCCCAAAATCAATTCTTTATTTCTATAAGATTCATGTAGTTAAACAATGTAGAAGTTACTTCAAAGTATTGGTGAATGTCTACCAGCTAAACTATTTATCTTCAAATAAAATCTTCTATATATCCTTTTATTTTAAAAGTATTTTCTTTTGATTTGCTATTTCTTACGCTATAATGTATCAATACTTTTTCCTAAAGCACTTCAATTATAAAATTAAAGTTATCTTGTCATTGTCTAAACATAGAATGTAATATATAGATTTAAATGTCGTCGGGTATGTATTAATGATTTTTTTGAATAAAAATAGCTGCAAAACCTTACACTAGAGAAAAAATTCCCCCATTACACTAGCAAAAAGATTTCGCCCCGCTACACTAGTGATTTTTTTCACCTCCTACACTGACGAAATTTTTCACCCCCTTTGACTTGAAATCCTGGATCCGTCCATGGGTGATGGTACATAGAGAAAAGACCATCTCTTCATTCTGGACTGGGCCATTTGTTTGGGTCCCTGGTATTGGTGTGGATTTGAGTTGTCTGTATATCCCAGAGTTGTGGGTCGTGGGTCCAAGCTCATATACTCTATCTGGAGTCCCCCGCTCTCTGAGCTAAGGAGCACCGAAGTGAAAGGGGTAGAGTTTTTGTGATGTTGATCCAGTGTTTTGATTCATGGCGTTCGTTTGAGCTTTGAGTCCGCAACGATGTATTCCGGGGTGATCATGGCATCCACATGTACTTTGTTGTATTTTCTGAGTTTTTTTTTTTTTTTTTTTGCTTAGGTGTAGTCCCCCACTCCTGAGGCCGAGATGGTCATCAAATTGAGGAGTATACCATTGATATCGAGGACCACTTGGTGGTTGATGTGTTGAACCGGTGTGCCGAAGTGCCACCTGCGTGATGGCCCGGGGATCCGACCACTTCAGTGAACCCTGAACAAGGCAACCACATGAGATAATAATAATCCTTGTATGAAGGTCGTTGACCAAAGACCATCACCGTAGTGCTCAAACCGAGGGGCTTACTCTGGTCTTTGAGTTGAGATTTATACATGAGGTGCGTAAATCTTGTTTGATGCTTGTGACTTGTTCGCCGGGGTGCGGCGTATGGAGAGAGACGCACAGTGAACCTCTAGTGGTATAGCTTATAAAGAAGGGAGAACTAAAGTAAAGAGTGAGAAAGTGATTAAAATAATGATGTTATACATGCCTACTCCGATGCGGAATGGGTCGAATTTCCTGATATTAGTTGTTCTACTTCTGATTTTTCTATTTTTCTTGGTCTTAATATGGTGTCCTTAAAAATCGAGAAGCAACCCACTATCTCCATATCTTTTACGAAAGATGAGTATATAGTTATTGCTAACAGTTCAAGACACACTCCACAATCATTTGGTTCAAACTGGGCATAGCTATTGTTTCGCTGGTTCAGCTATGTGTTATAATGTGTCTGCGTCATATTTATCTACTAATCCTATTCAACATGCTCGCAGCAAACACATTAATATTAATTCACTTTGTTCATGAGAGAGTTTTACACATGGACCTGGTTGTTAAATATGTTCACACGAATCTACATATTGCGGATATTTTTACAAAAAGTCTCCATCCGCAATAGATTTTTCATTGTGACAATATGCACGTAATTCTTTCTGTACAGATTGAGAGAGTGTAATAGTGTATTTTATACTTAAAACAGGTTTCAATATTTATTATGTATTCCATTGTAATTCGAATTCATGATTCATTATATATATATATATATATATATATATATATATATATATATATATATATATATATGATATTCACAGCTAGGTAAGCCTGCCAATTATTCTCATAGAATTTTGATTTATATATAATGAAGAAAGACCGGCTAAAATATTACCTACGGACTTTACATGGACAAAAATATGATCATTTTAGGCTTGGACAAAAAATGACCATAAAAAAGAAAAGAAAAGCTCAGTTCGTATATCTCCTCTGCGCCTTCCTTATTTGCCCACCACCGAACAGTAGCGAACAATCTCCTCCGAACAGATCCACACAGAAGATGAGAATCATCGATTCCTCCACCGAGTAGCAAATCGTTGCCGCCTCCGCTACCCGCCGTTGTTGCCTCCTCCGCTTCCTTGGTCTTCGCTGTTATCGTCGGCCTGGCCCTTGGCGTCACCCTACCCCGCTTCTATTTATTCTCCTTATGTCTCCGCTTCTATTTATTCTCCTTATGTGTGGCATTTTAAAATGAGCATTACACCAATAATAAATTGAGCACTGCTAACTTACAAAATGAGCATCAAAAAATTTAAAAAACATGTTAAAAATATCTAGTATGCTCAAATATCAATTTGTGTATGCTCATATCAATATAACATAAAGAAGCACCGATTTTTTTTCCCAGACCAATTAATTCTATTGTGCTCATTTTTAAAAATTATATCAATGCACATTTAATTTAAATAATATACTCTTAATTATTTAGAAGGTTGGACGTTTTAATAGAAGAGTGAGAGAGGTATATGTTTTTATTAAATTGCCATTAGTAGTTCATAATTAGAGGAGCAAAAGACAAAAGGTATTTATAAAAATAAAAAACGGAAGCAGGGATAGAAAAAGAAAAACTAAAGTTAAAAAGGTCAAAGTTCAAAATTAAAGGAAAATAAAAAAAGAAAAGGAAAATTAAAGCCTTTTTTGGCAAAAGAAAAATTAATGTTACAAAAATTAAAGGTGGAAATTAAGAGAAAAGAAAATGAAAAAACGAAGCATAAAAAGAAAAAGAAAAATTGAGAATTAAAGATACCAATGATAAGTGAGTGGAGGAGAAAGTAAAATACAAAAAAAAAGTTGGAAGAGAGTGCATCAGACGAATAGAAATAGGAAGCAATACTTGGCTCCGTAATTAACTAGTATTCTACCCGTGCGATGCACGGGAGAATAAAATTTGCGAATTGGGGAAGAGTTTATTATTATAAACAATTATTTCATATAATAACACATATTTTGTCATAAAATTTGTGGATGATTTTTTTTACAAACAATATACTCTTGTGCGTGAATGATATCTACAATTTACACTTTCTTATATACAATCTTCACAATTCCATGGTTAATTGTCACTTTTATTTTAACTCATAAGTTTTTTAGAAAAACTATTCATATAATAAATTTGAATAACAATCTAGTGTACTCCTCCGTCACAATTGCACGGTTGATCCCTTGTTTTAGATCTTATTAACAATTTAGATGCCAATATTTTTACATGTACTTCTCCCTCCAAAAAAGATTGGCTAAATTGATTTTTCTTGATCAATGGTAATCACTATGAGATAATAAAAAAAATCAAAAAAATGTTTAAAAAATTAGTTTACGAAATTAGGACCGATTTAACAGTATCTCTCAATATATTGCTGGAATGAACTCTAGTTAACAGAGCCACCAACTTAATTAGTGCTGAATGCCTATTAATCGCCAAAATATGGAACCAAGGTTATGAAGCTAGCAACTCAAAGCTAGCAAATCAACACTTTTTGACCCAAATTAAAAAACTCACTTTTTGAAATTGCTATAATTTTTCATTTATAAATATAAAACTCATCTTTCATATGATATTAATATTGTATCTATAAATATAAAAATAAATGTAAAGATACGTTTGGTGGAAGTTTTAAAGTTTAATTTTTTTTCTTAAGCGGACCCAAGTTCTAAAATTGAAAGCATGTTTAGTAATGGGCCAAATCAGCTGATTATGCTGAAATTGAGGAAGTTCTAGCTTGAATTTGCTTAATTATGAAGTAATTACATTTAAAACATTTTTTAATAACAAAATAAAGAGAAAATCATATGAGAGATAGTTAAATTGTTCATCTATAGTAACTTCAGCCAAAAAAATAATACGATCCTCACTTATTTTGATTAATATACAATTCAGCGTGTGAAATCAAAAGTTACGTATTTACGGATAAATGACTTATAAACTGATAAGCCAGACATTGGTGTCATATGAAAAATAATAAAAAAATTATGAATCCTGATATATTTTTTGTAAAAGTTGGATGATTAATAAAAAAGTTATAGCATTTTTAAAATAGATAGAATAGTATTTTATTCGGGTCTCATTAAGTTGTTTGATTTAGTAATTGTCCTAAATAGGAATAAATGGAAACATAATTACACAAACAAGACTAAAACGTAAATCTTTCACAAACAGGAATAAACATTAATTTCTTACCCTTAATATCCCTAAGGGTTTTAATTCATAATGTTTTAATTCATAATTAATAAAAAAAATTAAAAAATTGTAAAATAATTTTTTTTTAAAAAGTTAATAATAAAAAAAAGATAAAAAACATAAAAAAGGATGTCATTCCCACCGCCTCTACCGCTTCCCACCAACACTACCTCCGCTCGGTGAAAAAATGTCATTTTTTCTGAAAATGCCAAGAACATGACATATTAATCTTTGATAATGCCAAATTTTTCATTAAAAATGTCATCAATATGACATTACTAATGCATGTTGGCATATTTTTAGGTGATCGGAGATGGTGGTGTTGGTAGAAGAAGCCATTGTGGACATGAATTGGTAGAAGAGTATACATATTGGAAGGTCAAAAAACCAATTTTGAAGTCATAGTAGAAGGAATCCCTAAAAGAAATTGTTAATATATTACCAAATATAATTTTGTTAAGAAAATTAAATTTAGGCATGAACTATAAATTAAATTTATATTACCATATACTACCTCCGTCCCAAATTGATTTGCAAATTTTACTTTTCTTGGTCAAACCGTATTCGCTTAATTAGGATGTCAATTTTTAATTATATTCTAATTTGAAGTTTACAAATTTGAAGAGATTTTAATGTAGTTTCTGAATATATAAATTTTAATTATTAAAAATTAAATTAATTATCAATACGGAGCATTGACTTTTATTATTAGTTGACTAAAAAATGTTGACTTTGCAAAACAATTTGGGACGGAGGGAGTAAATTAAATTTACTGCCTATACGTATTGCATAGCCAACTATATTTTGGCAAAAGAAAAGTTTGAAAGCCCATCCTCTTTATTCTTCTTCTTTTACGGAGTGTCTTGCGGTCTTACCACATTCAATCCAATCCCCAGACACCCATAGGGGGCGCTAATCCGCCAAACACACTGCAATCCACTCCTTTTTTCTCCTCAATCCTAAAAGCTCCTCCCTTCGGCCCTTCCCACTTCCCAATCCCAGATTGATGGCATCATCCTTCATTTCATGCCACCACACTTCCTTGTTCTCGCCTTCTACGCTCTTCTATACTCGCCGCCGTTCTGTTCCGCTGCGTGTCCCTCCGCCACAGTGTTCTCGGAAGAATTCTTCTCCATTTCGACTCTCAGTCCGTCATATTCAGGCAGGTTCTTTTTCCATTACCATGTATATAGTTACAAATTGAGGATTCATTACTGTACACATTTATTGAATAGCTTTGGTGATGGAATTTTCTCAATTGGTGGGGTACAGAGAGACGAAGAAGACGACTTGTTTTCTCCATTGAAAAAATGCGCCATTTCTCTTTTGCTAGCTGCGGGATTCCTGTTGAGTGGAGCGCCGGGAAATGCCATTGCCAGCTATCCGCCTGCATTTCCAGATTTGGCGGTGCTGATATCTGGGCCTCCCGTTAAGGACCCGGGGGCCCTGTTGAGATATGCATTGCCTATTGACAACAAGGCTATAAGAGAAGTTCAAAGGCCTCTTGAAGACATCACTGAGAGTCTCAAGCTGCCTAGCCCCAAGTCCCTTGATTCTGCTGAGAGAGTAAGAAACAACTCACTTTGTATTTCTTCTATGTATTGCAGCTTATTTTTTTTTTTTGTTTTTGAAATAAACGTTATCTACTGAAATAGGAACTTTTCATGCTTCTAATGTTATGAGCTGTGGGCAGAATGTGAAACAGGCATCCCGGGCTCTCAAGCAGGGGATGACTTTGGTTATTTCAGGATTGGCAAAGTCAAAGGTCGAACATGGTACTGAATTGCTTAGCAAACTTGAAGCTGGTTTGAATGAACTTGAACGAATCATTGTTGAGGATAAGAACCGGGATGCTGTTGCACCTAAGCAGAAGGAATTGCTTAAATATGTAGGAGGGTATGTGTGGAAAGGAATATATTATTTCATCATCTCATGAGTCATGATTATCATCAGAAAGTTGTGTTCTATCCGCAATCTTATTGATTTCCACAATTCATAACTATAGCCAAACCATCACAGATTGATCATTGTAGGAGTTCCAGATTTCCAATGCACGGGGCTATTGCCTGCTTAGGTCTTAGATAGCATAATAAGATATCAATAACTTGCAATTTTTTGTAAATAATAAGGGCCCATAAATAATTGTATTCTAGCATAAATATACATACAATTTTTTCTATTTTATTAAAATAACAACAATATAAATAATATTAATTAAAATAGTATCATGCAGCTATGTGGGATTAATTATTTGATGTAGGCATATAGATTAAATTCCTGCTTACAAATCTTAATATCCAAATTTTACTTTATTGAAAGGCCTTTATATCGGCCCTGTGGGTGGGGGTTGGGGTGCTTCCATTTCTGTTAACCAAATTTTATGTCACTGATAAAGAGGCGGAGGCCACATTAGAAAGATAAAATTTAGGCTCTTTTTGGTAACCATAATTGGTCTGCAACTTTTGAGTTTTGACTACCTTATTTGGCTGAAATGGATGCCCCATACAATTTTCCTCTCAGATAAATCAACAGACAGCTGTTTCAGCCTAACAGCCATTACCAAATGGGTTCTTTTTTTCCAAAATATGCTATTCTCATTTAAAATAAAATTAAACCCATTCTCATTCATTGACTGCAGCTGAGATCTTCATGGCGCATTGGATTTCTGCAGTGTTGAAGAAGATATGGTGGATGGGTTCCCGTACGAAGTGCCAGAGGAATACCAAAATAGGCCTTTGCTGAAGGGAAGAGCAACAGTTGACATGAAGGTCAAAGTTAAGGACAACCCCAACCTTGAGGAATGCATCTTCCGCATTGTTTTAGATGGCTATAATGCTCCTGTTACTTCTGGGAATTTTGTGGATTTAGTTGAGCGGCATTTCTATGATGGCATGGAGATTCAAAGAGGTATATAACAAAGTACTACAAAGCCACTTATTGATTAATGTATGGGAAAAGTACATAAAAGATACCTGTGGTTTGGGCCCTTTTCAGATAGAGGCACATGTTTCATTTTTTAACAAAGTAGAACATATGCTTCAATTCCGTTATCACAACAGAGGCATGACGTCTAACACCGTTAAAAAATCTAACCCCGATTTTCAAAAGTCTTTGAAACATTAAAAGAAAAATACTGGGAGGTGCGCCTCGTCAAGGAGACCAACAAACTATCGTTCTCTTTGAATTTTTCGGCTCACTTTAGATTATTTTTTAAAATTGAATTTGTTAATATCACTTTTTCGCTGGATTTTTTGGCGACATGGTGGCCGGAAACAAGAAAAGAAAGATAGTTTGTTGGTCTCCTTGACGAGGCGCACCTCTCAGTATTTTTCTTTTAATGTTTCAGAGACTTTTGAAAATCGGGGTTAAATTTTCTAACGGAGTTAGATACCATGCCTCTATTGTGTTAACAGAATTGAAGCACATGTCCCACTTTGTTAAAAAATGAAACACATGCCCCTATATGAAAACGGCCCAAACCACAGGTACCTTTTCTGCAATTTTCCCTTAATGTATTGTGTCTTCTTGATACCTTTAAAAGAAGTAGCATAGAACATGTGCATTTCCCATGGATCATTTCCATAAATTAATTATGCTAATGCTTTATCATAATCTTTTATAATTCAACATATTACATAAATATTTATCTTTCCATCATTTTCAATGGAGCCAAAGACTCACTATTTTTGTCTTGGTAATATGATGCAATAAAGCAAAATGGCTCACTAAGCGGTCTGCGCTTCTTCTTTGTTATGGATTAACAGTCAGTCTATGCAATTTTCACTATGGGTTATTCGGAAACAGTCTCTTTGTGCTTTAGTACAGGGGTATGACTGCGTACATCCGACCCCCCTTACCCCACTGTAGGTGGGAGCCTTTGCGTTACTGGGGTAATGATGATGATGACATAAATATTTATACAACAACAACAACAACAACAACATCCAAGCCTTAGTCCCAAATGATATTGGGGTCGGCTAACATGAATCGATATATGATATCACATTATCACCAAAAGGAAAAGAAAGAAAATAAAGATAAAAAAGATAAGCTATTATAAAAAAAAAGATAATATAAAAGAGATGAATATACATATAAAAGATCAAATAAAAAGGATAAAGTAATATTTATATATAAGGATAAAGATATAAAAGAAAAGGAAAAAAAGAAGAAGAAGAAGAAGAAGAAGAAGAAGAAGAAGAAAAAAGATGATACAAGATCACTCCTCAACACGAATACCCGCCCTCCATTTTGCTCTCTCCAAAACCATACCCTCATCCAATCCAAGGAGAAGCATATCACTTCTGACTCCCCTAACCCACGTCTGTTTGGGCCTTCCTCTCCCTCTCTTCCCTACCTCTTCTCCACACATCTCAACTCGTCTGACAGGTGCATCACTCGGTCTTCTATGCACATGACCAAACCACCGTAGGCGTGACTCCCGCATCTTATCTTCAATAGGTGCTACTCCCACCCTTTGTCTAATTGTCTCATTCCTCACGCGGTCCTTTCTAGTATGCCCACACATCCAACGCAGCATGCGCATCTCTGCCACACTCATCTTTTGAATGTGACATTGTTTCACCGCCCAACACTCCGTGCCATACAGTAATGCCGGCCTAATTGCTGTCCTATAAAATTTACCCTTCAGTCTAGTCGGCATACCTCGATCGCATAGAAATCCTGACGCACTCTTCCACTTCATCCACCCTGTTCTGATTCTATGGGATACATCTCCATCTAACTCACCGTCCTTCTGAATTATGGAGCCCAAATAACGGAACATATCGCTGACTGGTATCTCCTTACCATCTAAAGTAATTCCGCTATTACCACTGCTTCTACCTCCACCAAACTTGCACTCCATGTACTCTGTCTTGCTCCTACTTAGTCTGAAACCCTTGTTCTCCAATGTCTGTCGCCATACTTCCAACTTTGCTTTAACCCCTGATTGCGTCTCATCAATCAATACAATATCGTCGGCAAACATCATGCACCACGGTATATCGTCTTGAATTGACTTTGTAAGTTCATCCATGACTATGGCAAATAAAAAAGGGCTAAGAGCCGATCCTTGGTGCACTCCGATAGTAATAGGGAACTCCGCAGTCCTCCCTACACTAGTACGGACACTTGTAGTACAATCCTCATACATATCCATGATGATGCTGATATACTTGCGTGAAATGCCTTTTCTAGTTAAGGCCCACCAAAGAACTTCTCGAGGTACCCTATCATATGCCTTTTCTAGGTCAATGAACACTAAATGCAAATCCTTGTGAGCGTCTCTATACTTCTCCATAAGTTGCCGAAGAAGGTGGATAGCCTCAGTTGTTGAGCGACCAGGCATAAAACCAAATTGATTCTCTGAGATCTTCACCGTTCTTCGAAGTCTTTGCTCAATCAATCGCTCCCAAAGTTTCATGGTATGACTCATAAGCTTAATCCCCCGATAGTTGGCACATTCTTGTACATCACCTTTATTCTTAAATAAGGGAATAAGAGTACTCTTTCTCCAACTCGTTGGCATCTTGTTGTTTCTCCAAATTTTGTTGAAGAAATTTGTTAACCACCCGATGCCTCTCTCTCCCAAACTTCTCCAAGCCTCGATCGGTATGCCATCTGGACCCACTGCTTTCTTCCGCCCCATCTTCCTCAAAGCCTCTTTAACTTCCGTTGGTTGGATCCTTCTCACAAAATCACGATTTACCATACAATCTGGTATGGTCAAATCATCGATATCTTGCACTTTGTTCCCGTTGAACAATGTATCAAAGTATGATCTCCACCTCTCTTTTATCTCTCTGTCCTCCATTAATATCCTTTGATCAACATCCTTCACACACTTAACTTTTCCGATATCTCGAGTCCTGCGATCACGAAGACGAGCAAGTCTATAGATCTCTTGTTCTCCTTCCTTAGAGTCCAATTTTTCATACAACTCCTTGTTCACTTTCCCTTGTGCTTCTTTTACGGCTTTCTTTGCTTGTCTTCTAGCCTCCTTGTAAGCTTCTATGTTCTCATCACTCCGACTTATCCCCAACTTTTTGTAGCAATCTCTTTTGTTCCTTATGGCTTGTTTCACCTCATCATTCCACCAAGACGTGTCCTTTTTGGGTGGCAAACATCCTTTAGATTCCCCAAGTACCTCCTTTGCCACTTTGTTAATGGTCAGCTCCATCGATAACCACGCATCCTCCACCTGTGTTCCATTATCAATACGCCATACATCTTCACCGAACATTTTGTGTGTAAAGCTTTGTTGAAGATCCCCCTCAAGCCTCCACCACTTTATCTTTGGCTCCACTTGTTGCTTAACTTGTCTTCTATGGTTCTTACCTCGAAAGTCGAGCACAAGCATCCTATGCTGAGTGACAACACTCTCACCTGGGATAACCTTACAATCGGTGTAGCTAGTTCTCCAAGTAGTACGTACTAAGAAGTAGTCAATTTGGGTACTATTAGCTCCACTTCTATAGGTTACAAGGTGAGAGTCTCTTTTCCTAAACCAAGTGTTCATTATAGCCAACTCATACGTTGAGGCAAAATCCAAAATGTTCTTTCCCGCTTCATTTCTAGTGCCAAAACCATGTCCGCCATGAATACTCTCAAAGCCATCACGAATCGAGCCCACATGCCCGTTGAGGTCGCCTCCTATGACCAACTTCTCTCCTCTTGGCACTCGTCGCACAACATCTTCAAGATCTTCCCAGAACTGTTGAGTTGTAGATGCATCCAATCCCACTTGTGGTGCATAGGCACTTACCACAGACACAATCTCACCCCTCATCACCAATTTAATGCTCATGATGCGATCATTCTTCCTGAAGACTTCTACCACATCCTCAACATAATCACGTGCCACAATAATGCCTACCCCATTCCTGGTCTTATCTCTCCCCGAATACCACAACTTAAAACCTCCGGGATTAATCTCACGTGCTTTCTCTCCAACCCATTTAGTTTCTTGCACACACATAATGCCGATATTCCTCCTCCTCATAACTTCGACTACCTCGGAAGATCTGCCTGTAAGAGACCCAACATTCCACGTCCCAAAGCGCAATCTAGCACTCCACCTTCTGTTCTTAGCCCCGCCTCGGACCCCACCACGCCCTTGCATATTTGACATCATCCTCGGGCAATGGAATGACGCGCCGCTTCCGGGCGACGACCTAGCAACCTTAACATTCTTATCACCACACCCAGGCCTATGAAGTGTAGCGCGCCCTTGCATATTTGACACCACCCCCAGGCGGAGGGATGACGCGTCGCTTACGGGCGACGACCTAGCTATAGCGATATTCATATTTCGATTCATGTCATGTGATGTGACTAGGTAATACTGTTGGCCGTCACGCGCCTACCACAGCACCCTCCTCCTTTATCCTGGCTTGGGACAGGCATGAAACCAAAAAAAAAATTGATCTCATGGCGGAGTTGACATAAATATTTATAGTGCAGTATTATTTTTAAGATACAAGAAGTTTGATAATTAAAGGAATAACAAGAAATTAAATCACAATGAATTATTCGTTTAAACATTGTATAGAAGTTAAATATATTTTTAAGGTTCATATATCTAAATGAAAAATTGAAAAACCTAACTGAAAGTGAAAGTCAATGTATTATGAGGAAATGAATGACTACTTAGTTAAATTGGATTTTCTGCAGCTGATGGCTTTGTGGTTCAAACCGGTGATCCTGAAGGTCCTGCAGAAGGTTTTATTGACCCCAGTACAGAGAAGACACGCACGGTACCCCTTGAAATTATGGTGATTGGGGAGAAAATGCCATTTTATGGATCCACCTTGGAAGTAAGCTGTTACTGAGCTGATTCGTCTCTCACATCCCGTGAAAGAAAATGAATCTTTAGGAATCATTTGGGACCTGGGAAATATTAGGGGAAAAAAATGACTAAGGAGTAAAGTTTAGCGGAAATTCTCAAGGAAAGAAAACACAGGGAAAAGAAATACTCTTTAAAACTCATAATTCTTAATATGTAGTCAAACTCATTTTGTTTGATGATTGTTTCCCGTATAATCAAATTTCCTTTACATTTTCCCAGGAAAACCGAGCATTAGAACAAGTTTCCGTATTCTTTTCTCCTTTCAGTAGAATTTTCCAGGTTGCAAAAATACCCATTTTGTTCCATTGCATCACGGCTTCACCGCTTCATGTAATGTGTTTGATCGACTTGTGCATCTCTCCAGGAACTTGGCCTATTTAAGGCACAAACAAGGCTTCCATTTAATGCATTTGGGACAATGGCCATGGCTAGAGATGTGAGTAATGTAATTTGTTTGGAACACATGATAATCATTCCCCTAGTGTCGTTTTTCTTTTTATAATGATCTTATTAGTTCCGATGATGAAAACAGGAATTTGAGAATAATTCCGGGTCAAGTCAGGTATTTTGGCTTTTGAAAGAAAGTGAGCTGACTCCTAGCAATGCCAATATCTTGGATGGTCGCTATGCCGTGTTTGGCTATGTGATAGAAAATGAGGACTTGTTGGCTGATCTCAAGGTTGGAGATGTGATTGAATCCATGCAAGTAGTATCTGGCCTCGACAATCTTGTCAACCCGACCTATAAGATTGCGGGTTAGAAGTGTGAAAGGACTAATTTTGTCCGTTTCTTTATCTCGTTATGTGTAAGAGCATTTTTTCACCTTCACAGCAATGTCATCATATTAATAGTTATAGAGATGAGAGCTATGTAACGCTATTCTTTCTTTCTATATTTGCTGCCTCTATTCTGTAAGCACTAAGCAGTGTAAGGAGTGTCTTTAAAACAACACGCTCACTCGCTCAACCGATTACAGTGTCCTGTAAAGGAAAATTTGGTTACCTAAGAGGAAAATTTTGTATGGATGCCCCCATACAATTCAGGCTATGTACTCACTCACTCGGACAATCTGTAAAGGAAACTTGGATGAGAATTATGGGATGGAGGATATGTGTGTACGCACCCACCCACATACACACATAATGATTCATAAAATTTGGTCTAATTTGACTTACACGTGAAATAATAAAGTAAAAAATGTGTAGTTGAAATTTGTACAGAGCATAGAGAAATAACTCTAACAACAAATTTATTACTCCCTTCGTAACATTCATATCTTTCCACTTTCCTTTTTTGGATGTAACATTTATATCTTCTCATTTCTAAATATTCTCATCATTCTCATCATATCCTCAATAATTTAAAAAATTTGAAGTAATACACTATTACACTTACTTTTTTTGGATTTATCCTTCATTCCATCACATTATTTCACTATCTTCTCATCATATCTTCAATAATTTATATCTCCTTTCACTATTCTTAATCTCATCCACTTTGGAAGTGGGAAGATATATGTGATACGGAGGGAGTGTCATTTTGTGGGATGAAGAGAGTATAACACTCCGTATATATTAGGAATGTATTTACGTTCATAGAAGCGCGAGCACACACAGAGTTAAGATTAAGTAAATAAAAATTAACTTGCTAAAGTATGAAACGCATTTATAATAAGGGGTTTTGTCATCAATATTACTAATTAGAAACTCATGGACAAAAATAGAACTACTTATAAATATTATCAAAAAAGAGACCTACATGACTTTTATACCCTCATCAGTTACAGTTACACTGTCCATCCGATTACAATTACATGACATGACTAATTACAGTTATGTGAACCGACCAATTACAGTTATTCGACTAATTATAGTTATGTTCAAAATCGTACATATAAACACACACATATACATAGAGTTTGGATTAAATAAAAATCTTAAAGTGCGAAAGTGTGAAATGCATTTATAATAATCTATGATGCACTTTGTGTGAAGAGCCGCTGCACTTTAAACATTGGTAAGAACAACATCTTGGGGGTAGGGGGGTCGTCATCGTGATATTTTAGTAAGTAGAACTTTTTACAAACATGCAAAAGTGCACCAATGCATTATTTGAACTGAAAAGTGCAATGTAGCGCTGTAAATTTACTGTCATATCAACATTTTTCTATCATATTATTACATTATATCAGGGTTCAAAATGACAATATTACTACAATAATTGAAAGTATTTCTCAACATTAATTACTACGGAGTATTATTTGAGAATAAAAACACGATACTCATATTTTGAAATTTCACATTATTTTTACTTTTTCTATTTTTATGAATTTTAATACTCCGTATTATTTATTGATGACTATAGTATATTGACAAAAGAAATAGATCATATAATTATCACAAGTTATGTTTTTAGAAGCAAAATTATAAATAATAATCCCTCCGTCCCACAAAATAGTTCTCATTTTTCTTTTTGGAAAGTTTTTTGTGACTACCATTCATTTATATTTTTCTTACTCAACCACAATCATACATTACCACTTTATTCCCACTTAAAAGAATTCTTTTATTGTAATAAAAGTAAGGGAAATTATCATTGACCTCCCTTGAGGTTTGATGCATTATCAATCACACCCCTATACTATCAAAATTATACTCTTACCCCCTCCCTATCCTTTAATGATAGTTAAATAACTTTTAATCTACATTTAGAGAAAATTATAGATATAATTTCATAATTTTCCTCTATGTCCGCTTTTAATAATGTAATTTTATTCAATCACAAATCTGGTCGGGTAGTTAATAAATTTGTCCAAACTAAAGACCTTTCTACCCGAAATCGAACCAAATAAAAAAAAAGTTCAAAATTGACCTCATTCTATGTAGTCCGTTTTGTGCCTTTGAATTTGTAAAGTGAGTAAATTTACTCAATTGAAAATGATCAAAATATGCTAAATTTGACAAAAATTGAAACAAATCAACTTACATGAACAAAACCGACTCAAGTGAAGTTTACTACTCGATTTTACCGTTAAAAATAGATTGCAAGGAAATTCCCAATTTGCACTTTAGACGCTCTTTGTTACCACTGGAAATGAGATCATTATAGGTATAATAATAACTTGTAAATTATTATTTAAAAAAACATGAACATGCTTACATGTAAAATACAAGTAAAGACATTCTAGTTTAGGACGGGTTCCACACCCAAACTGATTAGTGCTAAATAATTAGGGCGGCCCGTGACCTTATCTTTGATTCCAATCCCTTAATTGGTCTAGGTTCGCTCCTGATAATTTAAATATTTCTAACTACTTATGTTTCAACTTTTAAATGGACTATAACTCATTTTAAAGTGTTCTCAATGGATTTAATGGAAAAAATGAACGAGTTCAAAACATGGGCTCCAACCCCGGTCCCAAAAAGTGAGGTCTGAGGTCTATTTTTCACCGGTCTGATATCGATCCTGACCTAAAACCTGAATTCAAAAATCGGCCATTCCTGATACCGGGCCTTAACTTGTCTTGCCCTAATATGAACCACAAAAGTAAATATTTCCCATACAAATTTACAATAGGTAACAATAGTCCTAAAAGTCCTTCACAAACATTTGTTTTAGGTATAAAATAACATTCCTTGTTATTGGGCATCTTTCCCTCGTTACAAAAGTTTTACCAAGATTTTTACAATCTCAAATATAATTTTGAACTTTTACAAGTAATAGAGATTTATTGTTTTAAGCTCGTATCTTTCGGTTGTGTCTGTTACTAGTCCTAAAACTTTACACACAAGTCGCCCTAATTATTTAGCACTAACCAGTGTGGGTGTGGAACCCTAATTATTGTTGTTGTTGTTGTTGTTGTTGTTGTTGCTGTTGCTGTTGCTGTTGCTGTTGCTGTTGCTGTTGCTGTTGCTTTTGCTGTTGCTGTTGCTTTTGCTGTTGTTGTTGTTATTATTATTATTGTTATTATTTATTTATTATTTATTTATTTTTCTTTACTCCAAGGGGGTCTTTGGGGGGGGGGGGGGGTAACTTAGTTTGGATAAGTCTTTAGGCTGGAGTAATCAGGACTGAAACTCACACCGTTAAGTTTCGAACTCTTATGTGCCTAGCGGGTTTAGAACTCGAGACCTCCCACTAGACACAATAATCTCACAACCAGCTGGGCTGACATGCTTGATTATTTACAAGTTATTATTATTATACCTACAATGATCTCATTTCGAGTCGTAACAAAGACCGTCTAAAGTGCACATTGAGAATTTTCTTGCATTCGATTAACGATAAAATCGAGAAGTAAACTTCACTTGAGTCGGTTTTGTTCACTGAAGTTGATTTGTTTCAATGTGTCAATTTTGATCATTTTCAATTGAGTAAATTTACTCACTTTACAAATTCAAAGACAAAAGGATCTACCTAGAGTGAGGTCAGTTTTGATCATCTTTTTATTTGATTCGACTTCTGATAAAAAAGTCTTTAGTTGGATAAGTTTATTAATTACCCGATCAAATTTGCGATTGAATAAAATTACAATATTAGAAGCGGATACAATGAAAAATTATGAAATTATGTCTATAATTTTCTCTAATGCAGATTAAAAGTTATTTAATCATTATTAAAGAATAGAGAGGGGGAAAGAGTATATTTTTGATAGTATAAGGCTTTGTTTGCAACCACTTGTGCTTAAATAAAAGCACTTTTGGGAAAAAAGTGATTAGTAGTAAAAGTTGGTAGTGTTTGGTAAAATAAGTGCTTTTTGTGTAATAGAAAAAGTAAAAGTAGATTCTAAATGGAAACCGAGAAAGTAAGAGTTGATAGTGTTTGGTAAAATAAGTGTTTTTTTCTTAAAAAAAATTAAAAACACTTTTTTAATGGATTGCAAATAGATGCTAAGAGTGTGATTCAAAACAATAAGAATAAGCTACGGAGTAATACGGATTACGGAATACTTCGTATTAGTTTGATAGAATTAAAAACAACACCGCAATTTGTCTAGGAGGCTGCCTGGCGGCATAGTCCCCCGCCTAATTGTTCTTGTATGACAGCGAATAAGCCAGGGAGAACTCAAGTGATCCCTCGTGGCCTGTTTGGATTGAGTGTTGAGGAGTGTTAGTAATGAAAGTGTTAGTAAGTGTTGATGTTAACATTTGTTTCGGAGAAAAATCCAGAGGTGTTAAGAAGTGTTAGTAATGATTAGGAAGTGACAAGTGTTAATAATAACCTTCCCAACACCTCAACACCCCGATTTGGAGTGTTTTGAGATGTTGAACAATTATTACCCTTCTCATTTACCTGAAAAACATAAAATGTTTCGACATTTCACTTCGAATATCTTTCCAACGGGTCTGATGGTCTGCTTTTTTTCATCTGTTCTCTTTACTCATTTCTTTTGACTCAAGGTAAAATTATTAACATATTATTAATACTCCATACTTCATTCATTTGACTCTCACAAATAAGGTAAAATTATGTCTAACACTTACACTTTCCTCCCCTTTCGGACTTTTACTAACACTTACTAACGCTTCCGTTACTAACCCTTCCAAAATCCAAACACTCCGTCCAAACAGGCTTCATCGGGTGATATGTTCCTTTTCTGTTTCGACAAGCTACAGCTACCTGGAAATTAGAACATCTTTCTGACAAAAGAATCGACTGTGAGTCCTCCATCTGTTTCCATAGTCAAGGTCAGTGTATCTTCTGGAATGAATATGCCCTAATTTATCTGTTCAGTGCTGACACTCTATTTGTTTGATGAAATGCCAATGAGTGTACGTGCTTGCTTCCCTGAACATATATGGATTACGGAGCAACTGTCAAAAGTTTGAATATTCCTTGCATAACGATTCATATACAAATGTGAAATGGATATATGAATTCCGGTACTCGTTATATACTAACAGTTGAGGTGTATATATCGAACTCATTACACACAGTATCTTGGTTTATTAGCAAACGTAGACAGTTGATCCTAAAGTAGCAGCTAACTAAACAATAAATGATCTAATATCTATTTATATGAAAAGCAGTGAAAAAATAATAACCTGGCTATCGAGATGGCAATTCGTAATCAGTAATCATGAAAGTGACAATTCTGAGACGCATTCACTCGTGTTGTGCTTTTTGTGCATTTTCTATTCGTGAAGAATCAGAAGACAGAAGTTCTAGCTATATGTGCAAGTAGTCACCGAATTCTACAAGAGTGAATATGAATAGTGCTCCGTACTTTTTAATCAAGTACCTTAACTCGCTAAATTGAAGAAAAGCTTAATGCGTTCTTCAAACCAAAATGAATCTTGCTACTATATACTATCGTGTAATAGAGTAGTAGCATATCATTAAACATAAATATTAAACAGTGTAATTAAATTCTCGAGTTTAATTGCATGTTAGTGGGTTTCAGTATTGTTCAGGTTAGATGCTGTGTTAATCTACATTAAATATTATGATGTGTTTGATAAGCTGATATATTGATGACTAAGAATTGCAGAAAGAACATAAACTGATGAAAAAGGAATTTAGCAGGAAAAGTTTTTGTCAATTCATTTAGCCTTTGTTTAGCTAATCTATACAAGAAACTACAAGAAAAAAGTACTTCATCCGTCCCATTCTAAGGTTCCCACTTTCATTTTTTGGATGTCCTATATAAAGATTCTCATTTCTATTTAGGAAACAATTAACACACTTAAATGACAATTTAATCATCAAATATTAAAATTAATACATCTATACCATCACAGTTATCATCAATGACCCCATTATATTATATTCCTATAAAAATACATCTCAAAATATACTCGAATAATCTTATTTAATTATTGTCTAAATAACCGTGCCATTTTGCAATGGGGACCTTTAAGCGGGACGGATGTAGTAACATTGAATTAGGGAATGACTACCGACTACTGCTAAATGAGGAAGTGTGCTGAACTGCACCCCTTTCTCCTTGTAATACACTATTGCTCTGGCTAATTGTTGTGGCCAACTAAATAGATTTAAATATAATCAGTTTAATGTACATAAAACGAGTTAACTAAATGTTGGCCTGTCAACTGCACGTCTTCTCCAAGCATGTCTGCATTGCATTTACATATGTCTCTGGGTCATAATATTTATGATTGAATACTTTGTCCCCCCTGCTACATTGTACCCCGGTTGTTTTTGTATCAGCATTCTCACTATTCTATAATTCTCTGATTTGTTTATTCCTGTTTGTTGTTCAATCAGTTCTCACTTTGTTCCCCTAATTTGTTTATTCCAGGTACACACTAGCGTACTGATTTTTCTTCCTCAAAATGATCATACTACGTAGCTGCACCAAGAGATCATGTTGCTTAAAGACAAAATCATTCACCAGAATGTTCTGTTCAAAGGACACAACACAACTCATGTTTGATCCCATGAAAAAGGTTTGTGACATTTTGATGTCTTGCCCGAAATCAGGGCTTGACGCTGAGCTTGACCGGAGTGGGGTCAGGCCATCAACAGATCTGGTCGAAGAAGTGCTGAAGAGATTTGACAATGCTGGTATGTTGGCTCACCGTTTCTTCGAGTGGGCAGGTAGACAACGGAACTACGAGCATAGTGTCAGGTCTTATCACAGCATGATTGAATCCCTTGCCAAGATTAGACAATATCAAGTAATGTGGGATCTTGTGAATATAATGAAAGGAAAGGGTATGCTAAATATTGAGACATTTTGTATAATGATGAGGAAGTATGCGAGGGCAAAGAAGGTGGAGGAGGCGGTGTACACGTTCAATGTGATGAAGAAATATGATGTCCCTCCCAACCTCGCGGCTCTCAACGGGTTGTTGAGCGCCCTTTGCAAATCGAGAAACGTGAGGAAAGCGGAAGAGATTTTCAATGATGTGAAAGACCGGTTTGCCCCCGACGTGAAAACGTATAGCATATTGCTCGAGGGATGGGGACGAGAGCCCAACCTTCCAAAGGCGAGAGAGATTTACGCAATGATGGTCGCGGCAGGTTGTGGGCCCGATATAGTCACATATGGTATTATGGTTGATATCCTGTGCAAGGCTGGCCAGGTTGAGGAAGCAGTTAAAGTTGTCAAGGAGATGGAGTTTGGGGGATGTAAGCCAACTTCTTTTATTTACAGCATCTTAATCCATACTTATGGTATGTATAACAGAATTGAAGATGCAATTGATACATTCCATGAAATGCAAAGAAGCGGGGGTCCACGCTGATGTGGCCATTTATAATTCACTAATAAGCGCTTTTTGTAAAGTGAAGAGGTATGGGAACACTTATAGGGTCCTAAACGAGATGGACCATAAAGGTGTGACCCCAAACTCAAGGACTTGTAACATCATTCTGAGCAGTTTAATTGGTGAGGGGGAAACTGATGAGGCTTTCAAAGTCTTCCGGAAGATGATCAAGATATGTGATGCTGATGTGGACACATATACCATGATGATAAAAATGTTTTGCGCGAGAAAGGAGCTTCTAAAGGCACGCAAAATATGGAAGCTTATGAAGGAGAAGCAGGTTATTCCCAGCATGCACACTTTTTCTGTGCTTATCAATGGGATATGTGATGACGGGGATGCTCGCAGGGGTTGTAAATTGATGGAAGAGATGATTGAGAAAGGGATTCGCCCCGACAGGGAGACGTTTGGAAAGCTAAGACAACTGCTCTTGAAGGAAAACAGAAAGGATGTGCTCAAATTTCTTCACGAGAAGATGGATCTTCTGGTCAAAGAGCCCTTATGTGACTAAAAATTGTGCTTATTATGTGACACAGCCGCCTGACTTTGTGGCAGTGACACTTTCACCCTCGTGTCAATGCCAACTTCTCGTTGAAGGAAAATATTTCAGTAAGTGACAAACACAGTGAAAATCTAGCCGCTGCTGTAACAGTCACAGTGACGCCTCATAGGCACTAACGCTACAAACATACACTATACACCACAGTTTTACCCTGCCCCTACTAGAATCACTACACATTGCCGTAAATTGTACTCATCTCAAGAAACTATATCAACATCGGCAACACGCATACCTGAAACTCATGAAAGGGAATGTTGTGTGATAGGAACTATGGGATAACGACATCACAAGTGAAGTTGGCTCCAGTATCACCTATAGAGGCGAAATATACTAAAGTGATTTACTTTAGTTTCTTGAGATTAGGTTCTATGTTTTCTTCATTTTTCTTCTCTGCTTGTTTTGAGCCCTTAGCTCTTGAATTTAATGCACCATATTTATATCCAAAGGGTTACTTTTCATTATATCCAAATTATGTGTGCATGTTGTTATGTGCACTTTTTTATTATTGGCCTCTACCATAGGGGTAATCTTAACCAGTCTCACACAGATTTTTAATACCATACAGAAGAAGTTCAAGATTTCTTCCACTCAGTTTCTATATCAATCTTGACCTTATCAAGCAATTACTCTTATTGTAACTGGACCATTTCGAGACGGACGTTTAACGAAGAACATGCTCACAAAATTTCATAAAAAATTTGGACCCGAAACGCCCTCAAACGGGCTTGGCAAGACGCCGGTTCTCGTGAGTCCGAACTGACCAGATCACTCCAAATGTAAGATTGCCTCAGTTCATTCTGAGGCTTAAGCCTCAATGTTTTTCTTCCACCACCTCACATGTAAGATACTCAATCTCAACACAATAGCAAGTCGGCAAACTCTATTCACTATTCCACCGATCCCTAGCATTCACCGATCTTCATGGTCTATGCCCGACAATCGTGGCTGATCTCCTTATTGCCGCCCAGATTTAATTGCCGAAAGCCTGAAATCCTTGTGGTCTGTGAACTCTTCTCTGATAAGGTAATAATCCATTTCTCTTTTTATTTGATCTTCTGATCTTCACGCTATTCTCTAGTCTGTAAACTAGAACCCTTCTTGGCTAAGCATGATGGCCGGATTTATGGATAATAGATGTTTTCAAATGTTCTAGCAATTCTAAAACGTTGAAAATTTGTTACCGAATCAGAAAGTTTGAAATATGTGTAGTTTATGAATCTCTGTTTTATGTATGAAGTACTGAGTAACCAATGTAGTACTTCATATATATGTGTGTGTGTGTTGTATAAGACATTCCTTAATCCTTAGTAACATGAGAACAAAACCGTAGTGGGTTCCACTACAAGTCTGCAAACATTTAGTTACAAATTCCAATTACTATATCTTTAATTTTCCTAAAGGGAATGGAGCCCTTTAGTTTTTTAAGGTAAAAGTATACCAATTTAGTATGTTGGGCAGTTTGATTTCATACATTCTGCATTCATATTCACACTAAGCCACACTACTACCACATTTGCACCTCATTTTGAAGATAACATAAGTTTTAACATTTTTTCCTGTCAACATGTATTTTTGTTTTTTTTTTTTAATTTGGGGAATTGGGATTAGGGCCAGAGATGGCCCATGACCACCCTAAAAAAAATAAGGTTCCCATGATGAAACAGTACAATTATTTAGACAATAACTAAATAAAATAGTTCGAATATATTTTTAGAAATAATTTTGATAAGTATGATAGTATATACTCCGGATATAATAATACTCCCTCCGTCCCAATTTGATTTGCAAAATTTGAGATTTTGGATTAAACAATTTCATTTTAATCATTTTTGCAAAATAATAGTACCTATCATTTAATTTGTATATTTCAATTTTATAAAGATTTAAAGTAAAGATTTTAATGTAATTTATAAATAAGTAAATTTTAATTATTAAAATTAAACTATTTATGGATAGTGAGTCTTGACCTTAATATTGGTTGACAAAAAAAGGTTGACTTTTTAAAACAAATTGGGATGGAGGTAGTAAGGTTAGAGGTAATAACTACTCCGTATGATGTTAATAATATATTATTTTTAATATTTAATTATTAAATTATCGAGTATAAACGAGAATCTTTGTTTATACTCCGTACATGAGTAATAACTTTTAACCTTTGTTTATTTTTAACTTTTAACTTTGTTTAAGCGTATACTACCGCCATCGCCACTCCCCACTGGAGATCTGAACGCCGTCGGCCTGTCGCCACACGTTGCGCACTGATCGCTCCTCCAGTCGCCTCGCTGATCGCTCCTCCCGCCGACTCGCTGCCCAGTTGCCTCGCTGCTCCCTCCTCCTGGCTCCTGCTTCTCCTCCTCCGGACCTCGCTCTGTAGTCGATAGGTACTCCATACTCCGTCTGGATATGGTCCGCCGTCCACCTCTATCTTGAATTCCTGATTACCTCCTTTAGGAAATACTTATTATGGTAACCCAAAAGTAAGGATTTCTAAAACCAAATTTGATTTGTTTTTAGAATTTTTAGACCATAATCTATTGATATTATATACTTGTATGAAGATTTGTAGATGTTAACCTAAATGATAAACTGAAAAGTCTAAATCTAGTCGTTTAGTCGTGTATGTTATGTATTGTCATTTCATGTTTAATCAATTTGTTTGTCTTAAAGTTTGCAAAAGTATTGATCAAAGTTTTTAAATATGTTGACCAAGGATATAAAGTTTAATCTAGATCAGGACAACATTCAGTAAGGACGATCCATATACTTAGATCAGAATATTAATTATAGATATGTGATGCATATTATATGTGTGTGTATTTGTGTGTGGGTGTATATCTCGTAGTTGACCGGTAATGGAGGATTTATATGAATGTGGGCTATTCTGGTTCAAATTTATCTACATGAAGGTCGACCGAACAAATTAAAGGGAGGACAAGAGTGGAAGTGGATGGTTTGGGTATGATTTCGGCAAATAAACAGAAGAAAAAATGGAAGTGTAATGTATATGACTATATGCTTTAGTGGAGTGAAAACAGAGAGGCTTGATGAAACGATTTCTGCTATCAAAAATAACTTGAATCTACAATGTACATTAGTACTTTTTTTTACCCTCTTACGTGGGATGGGCTATACATATACACATGGGACTTTTAAAACATGTACGTGTCATTAACGCATGCCATAGCCATTGTTTTTAGTCTTTTCTCTTAAATATGTACGTAGTAGAACATATGAAAGCAATGTTAACTTATGAAATATACGGAGTAGTTATAATACTCTATAAATTTTGTCGATCACTTTTACATAATTACAATGGTGTTGTGAAATATATTTTTAATCCAACTTATGGTCCAATTCTCAATAGGTAATATTTATGTTTATTAATTATACAGAATTGTGTGATTAATGAATTGATTGAACTAATTGAAATTCATGAAATATTAGTTGAAATGATTGGATTGATTTAATCTATGAAAGTGATTATGTACAGTAACTTCATTAGTAAAAATTAACTCAAATCTTATTCATTTTGATCATTATGTGACTTAGCGCTCTCGATAAAAATTACATGTTTGATAAAAGTGAATGAAATAAAGAGGGGAGATGAGAAATGGAATGATTAGAGATACGAGCGACAAGATAAGAAAACTAAAGGGTTTATTAAGAGTCAAACCATAGAGACTGTTCTCTTTATATATTCATTTCGTTTTCATTTACCCCAGTTCTCTTTATATATTGCTTTAATAAAATAAAATGGCCTGATTTAGTTCATTGAGTTAATTGTGCATTAGATTACGGAAAAAATCCAATATGACAAAGCTAATTTGATAAAGTAATAATCCCAACAATAAAGGTTTATTGCTGTTTAATTTGTTTAAACTCATTTAAAATAATCCCTTGATAATGGGAGTAATGAATTTGTGATCCCATTGTTTTAATTATACTTTTAAATATAGAACAATCATCTAATATTCTCATTTAACATATGGATTGCTTAAGAATATGAATGTACATATGTGCTACTATGACATTCTATGAATTATTTCTTTTCTCTTTATACTTTTATAAAATACAAGGTAATGCATTTTTTTTTATAAAATATTCGGCCCCTACATGCACACATACAGGTTAGTTGAGAAATTTCTATACAATTTATCTTTTTAAATTGAATTACATAAATGTAAAATGTATAACAAAAACTTCCCCTTCGTGCAACGCACGGGCCATATACTAGTTACAGAGTAAAAGAAAGAAAGAATAAAGGAAAAGATGCCACTGCCTTATGAGTTTATGTTTTTATCGCCATTGTGCATTTATTTGTGCCTCTGATATTTTTTCTTTATTATGTTTTTTCACACATAATTGCCTACATTCCCTCAAAAGTTTCTAAATCTGATAGCTGCATATCATTAAATTCAAGGATCATATGCCACAGAGGTTCTATACTACGTTTCTCTCTCTGTGCATTTAAGTGCATTATTATTATTGCTCATAGATATGTATATATACACATACATGTATTATGTATATGGTGCATGTATAGACACTCCTTACAAGAATGATATAATATCTGAAGTTAGAAGTGAAAGTTGCAGATCTAGGGTTTTCACAAACCTCAGCTGTTGTGAGTTTGTTTTTCATTTTTGCGATAAAATACAGAGTGGTTGCTGAACTATGCGCATTATATATCGTTATGTGTTCTTTTTGTTAGTTTGGGTGCCATTTATTATTAGTGTTCCCCAGCTAAGCTGGGTTTGTGTTTTTTCATTGATTATGTTATGTGTGGTTTAGTTACGTGATTGATTCGGAAGTTGTGATGTGTGATCTATAGAATTTGAAATTGGAGATTGGGAAAGTGTGTGAAAAGATGAGTGATGGCCAGCGGTTTCAGCTTGGGACTATTGGCGCACTCAGCTTGTCTGTGGTATCTTCTGTCTCTATTGTTATTTGCAACAAGGCCCTTATCAGCTCCCTTGGTTTTACATTTGGTGAGTTCAATCTTCTTTTTTTCATCTTGTTTCCTGACTTCTGTTCGTTCATTGAATGTGTAAGAATGTCTGGTTCTGTGACTTAAATTTTAAGGATATTACTACCTCCACCCCATTACTTTTGTGACATAAAGAAGCGACACACATATTTAAGAAAAGTGGGATTATGGGCTATGTTGTAAAAACCGGACCGGGAAGTGACCCAAATGAATGATCAGGTAACGGGTCAACCTGAAATCGGTGGGTCAACCCGGTCAACGCCGGAAAACCCAGTCAACTACTACGTATTATATATATTTTGCTGTAATAAAAACATATTATACTAAAAAAAATTAAAGTTATTTATTCTTCACTATGATAAAATATTAATAATATTAATATTGCTATATTCAAAATGTTATTTGTTATTGTTTTAGTTTTAAACTATTTCTATATTTAAATATATTACTTTTTATTAAATTAGAATTTGTAAGCATTTTTGAATATTTAATCATATTCTAAAATATAGTTTTAGGCCTATTTGAAACAATAATATTATTTGA